TCCTGGTCCTCCTTCTGCTGTCGCCCCTCCTCCATTCCCCATCCTTCCCCTGCTGCTCCTCCACGTCCTGCTCCCCTATGACATCTCACTCCCCGTCCCTCCCTTACTTCTGGCCCCTCCGTCTCCACGCTAATCCGAAAAGGAAGTCGAGGGGGTCAGGGGACCGGGGAGACGCCTAGTATCAGAAGGCAGAGGAAGATGAAACGGATGATGCAGAATATGAGATGATTCTAGCCGCGATGACGCGGATCGCAAAGGCGGCGGCGACCCGCCTATCATGGCGAGCGCAATATCTGCCAGCGGCGTCGACGCTGACAGCGGCGACATCAAGGATTGGAACGGTACCTCGTTGTGTTGACTGCGAGAGTGAACGCGATGATGAGCGCGGCGGCGATGCGATGACCACGATGTTGATGATGACGATGACAACCTTGACGATGACGATGACGACGAGGGCCCGGATGACGACGACGGCGACGACCGCGATGATGACGATCTGGACGAGCGAACGGCCGTCCTCCGCAGCAGAAGCGGGCGGCTGGCCGGGGCCGCGGCAAACGACCAAAATCTACGCGGCGGCTTCTGCTGTGAGATAGCCAGCGCTGCAGGGCTTGTCTTAGCAGGGGCACCCGGGTGCCTCTGCTGAGAGGGCGCGGGCCTGACCCCGGGATCGTCGGCTGGGCTTGATGAGACGACGCGCTCCGCGTGGAGTTTGTCCCATCAAGGCCAGGCGATGATCTCAGGGTCCGACGTCAGACCCGCGTCCTTTCTGCAGGGGCGCCTGGACGCCCCCGGTGAGGAGACCCCTGTAGCGCAGGCATCATGTCAGCAGAGGCCGCCAAGTAGATCATACGCGGTAGCCGTTCCGCGCGCTTTCAGCAGGGCCACCCGGGTGGCCCAGCTGAGAACGCGCGATCGGAAGCGAAGCGCTGTTGGTGTTGGGTGTCTCTTCTGTTGAGATGCCGATGCCGATCATGGCCCGGCATCGGCATCTGTGCCGGCGCCGGTGCCGGTGCAGGCGTCGATAGCGATGCTGGTGCCGACAGGCGCAAGACCGTTTTAAACACCAACCTCACCGCGGTCAAAGGGGGCCTTGCAGGAGTCTGGAGGACAAAGGGGGGGCGGGTAGGGCGCGTCAAGACGAGGGGGGCGAAGATGAAAGCCTGCGAGCAGGAACCGTTGGAAAGCCACGGGAGGGGGGAATGGAGGAGGCAGCGGCAGGAGGACCAAGACAAAGAGGAACACGAAGCGGATAAGCATCACCGACATGCCGATTGCAGAGTCAGTCCAGCATCCCCAACATTGTTCGCGCGTCCTCAGAATCATCGCCCTTCCGTCCCGGATTTGCCCGCGCCCCTGTCGTCGTCGCTGTCGTCGTCATTGTTGTGATCGCCCCCCTTGCCATATCTCTCGCCCTGACTTCCTCGCGCACCTCCTCTTCACTCCTCCTCCTCCTGAGGTCCTCCTTATCCCCCCCCTCTCTCCCCCCCCCTCTCTCCCCCCCCTCATCAAGACCTTCGCGCGCACTTTGCGAAACCGCGCGTGGCATCATCACCCCCCCTCATCCCTTTCCTATTTCTCCTCGTCTTTCTTCTTCCTCCATTTCTTCTTCTCCTCGTTTTCGTCTTCGCGCTCGTGGTGCTCTTCCTCCTGGTTTTTCTCGCCCCTCATCCCCTGGTTTTCCTCCTCGGTCTTCTATTTCTCTTCTCGCTCGAGATTTCAACATGTACCAAGGCATGACGCCCCCCCGCCGGAGACTTCACACAACCCAGAAATAATGCTTTCGCCTTGGCGCCGGTTGGTTGCCCCCTGGGGCAGCGGCGCCTGGGCCCATCCTTGGGCGCAATGCGTTATCAGAAGTGTGACGTGACAGGTAGGGTTGGCTCGGCCCTGTCTAAGTCCTCTCTCCTTCCGCCCGCAGTCCGGTTGTGAGAATGTTTCAGGCAAAACCGACCGGAATACCTCGAGCGCGGCATCTCGGAACCCAGAGTTGCGAGGAGGTCTCAGGCGAAATTGGCCCGACCATCTCACGTGCGGCGTCTTGGAGCCCAGAGTTGCGACGATGGATCAGGCAAATCTGGCCGGATCACCTCGAGCGCATCATCTCTGAGCCTCGAGTTGCGGGGGCGCGTCGGGCGAAATTGGCCAAACGAACTCTGGCGCGGCATGTCTGAGCCCAGAGTTTCGAAGTTGCCTCAGGCGAAACTGGCCAGACCGCCTCAAGTCAGAAGCATTTCGGAACCCAGATTTGCGAGGATGTTTCAGGTGAGCCAGAGCGGACAACCTCGCGCGTCGCAAGTTCGAGTCCAGAATTGCGAGGATATCTCGAACAATTTGGGCCAGACCACCTCAGGCCACGACAATTCTTAGACCAGAATTGCGAGGATGTCTCAGGCGTAACGGGCCAGACAATCTCGCGCGCGGCATCTCTGAGCATGGAGGTGCGATGATGTCTGAGGCCAAACGGGCTAAACCACCTCAGGTCAGAGTATCTCTGAGC